AAACATATGCACACGCCTAGACATGAACTCATGCACATAAGCATACAAGCCAATACAAGCATGCAGGAATACATACATACATACATACATACATACATACATACATACATACATACATACATACATACGGACAGACAGACAGACGCATGCATGCATGCATAGGCATGTTATACTGCATTACATTACATTCCATCACATCACAATACACAACATTACATTACCTTGCATACATTACATACAGTACATACACAGATACACACATACACACATACATACATACATACATACGTACATACATACATACATACATACATACATACATACATGCATACATACATACATGCATACACACATACACACACATACATTCCTACATGCATACATACATACATACATACATACATGCATACATACATACATACATACATACATACATACACACATACATACATACGCACATACATACACACGTACATATATACATTTGTACATACATACATACATCCATACATACATACATACATACAAACATACATACATGCGCACATACATGCACGCATACATACACACATCCATACGTACTTACAAACATACATACATATGCACATACGTACACACATACATATATACATATATATCTGTAAATACAAATATACATACGCACATCTGTATACGTGTCTGTCTACATATATACACACACACACACAGCCACATACACGTGACATCATGACATATCCGGACTCCGGTTAACGGCTTAGGGGTGAGGTGTATGTGCAGGGTTAAAGCCTCCGCAAAGAAGCTCGTGTAACTTAGTAAGTAGAGTTAGCAGGTTAGACTTTTCTTTCGGAGGTTCTGGATTGTCAGCAGACTTACTAAGCCCAGCATCCAAATAACTCCTAGAACCGGTGCAGGAAATTCGAAACTTCAAACATCTCACATCAGGCACCTCCTGTCCCCACTGGTCTGCTGCATTGGAGCTGCCGCGCCTCAGCGATATGCCACAAGGGAAGAGTGTCTGTGCTTTCCAATCGACACGAGCTCCCAACAATCCGCGGTGAGTCAGAGATTCGTCGGGGAATTCGAGAAATCGAGTCGAAGCTTGAGAATTCAGCTGTTGAGGGTCGCAGGGTACTGCGAATCAGGGTTTCACATGTGCAAGGGGTTCTCCGGAGTTTGAAGTGGGGGCCTTTAGATTTGCATGTCTAGGAACTACAAAGACCTGGGCACCCTCAACCTTAAAGCCATTGCTTTGGGCTCTTCGTTCCGTTCTAGGTGCAAACCTCGGTCTTGGCCCCTGGCGCACCATAGAGAGGTAATCGCTCGGTGCTCGTCCGCTGGATGTAGAGCAGCAGCGTGACATACAAGCCTTTAGGGTTAATGTTGGGTTAGTGATGTTCCAGACTACGAATTAAGGGAGGGGGCTGGGCTTAAACGTGTTGAGAGTCTTGTACTCGTATTGAATTTGCAACTCAGACGGTGGTGACATGGCGATTATAGAATTACGACGGCTGCTACACTCCTACATACCTCAATCCCTACTCCGACTCCGACGACTACAACTACGACTACTAATAGTGCTGCTGCTGATGCTACCACTACTACTACTACTACTACTACTACTACTACTACTACTACTATTACCACTACTACTGCCACTACTACTACTACTACTACTGCTGCTACTACTACTGCTACTACTACTGCTACTACTGCTACTACTACTACTACTACTACTAATACTACTATTACTAATACTACTACTACTACTACTACTACCACTACTACCACTAACTATTACCACTACTACCACTACTACCACTACAACCACTTCTACTCCTACGGCGACGACAACGACTAGAGTGACTAGAGATGCACACACGAAGGCCTGACGGGAACCCTTTCTGCACGACGACGACTCGTACTACTCAACTCCTCCTCCTCCTCCTGCTGCTAATGCACATGGGTAGTTTTCTAAATTAGGGTCCCTTTTGGGGTCCTTTCTATAAGGGTGCCGTACTATATTGGGCCTAAAAAGGGACCCTGTTTCAGAGAACTACCCACATGTCTGCCTCGCGTGTGCAACTCCTCGCGCCTAGTGTCCAGCAGAGAGGTCCCAGCATGGTGACAAAGAAATAGGTCTGTCCTGCACTTGGAGGATCATGGGACTTAGTAAGTAAGGTTATAAGTACCCTAATTGGGGTTGTAATTATAGTTACCTTATTTATAACCCTAGTTACTAAGTCCCATGATCCTCCAAGCAGGCAAGGAAGACCCAGTCAGAGGTTTTATGATGGTCGATGCAAAGGACTTTCTAGATGATGACTTACCGTCATGTGGGTGCTTGGTTTGCCTTAGGTTAGCGAATAAACGATTCACTGGAGCTCCTGCAGGCCAAAAGTTGCCTTTCAAGCAACACATGAGTAGTTGTCAAAATTATGGTCCCTTTTGGGGTACCCTAAATAATAGGTGCCGTATTATAGTAAGGACCCAAAAAGGGACCCTAATTTTGACAACCACCCACATCCTGAACAACTCTGTTTCTTTGGGTCCAGGGTCATCTGATGAGGCAGATATCTTTGGGTCCAGGGTCATCTGATGAGGCAGATATCATTTGCTCAGTGTGGCTGCCACACTGAGCATGACCACCACGAGAAGACTCGCAACAAGCTGAAGATGACCAGCGCTGCTGTGTTCGGTGTCCTTATTCTACGGAACATGAAAGCAGAACGCTTGGGAACACAAGTGAAACTTGGCAAACCCACAACCTCCGGAATCACCGCTCGCCAAGCCTAAGCCAACTAAGCCCCAAAAAACCCTAAACCCTAAACCCTGCCCTAAACCCACCCTGTGATTTTCAGAAGCTCAGACCGTCGCACTCTGAGGGCCCTGGGGCCTCGCGTGCGGAGGATGGCCCAAGCCGTGTCGAAGTCGAGGAGCCAAGGGCCCACTTCAAAAAGCCTCGGGCTTTGAGGCTTTGAGGTTTTAGGGTTTAGGG